CGCTCATCTACATTTACAAATGTACATGTAGTACATGTACTTTGGTTTAGAATTATTAGGATTAATCTTGTTTCTTTCTGTCATTTTCCCATTAATAACTTTCCTCGGCTTTTCTCCTGAACTGTCAAAGATACAAACTTTTAACTTTGAGCATACATACATGTACAGTGTATATATGTCAACCCAGATCCTGAATTGTGCATATTACTCTGATGTCATTATGAGTGATGTCTTAAGGTGTCAACTTACAAGCAGTTGAAGTTTGATATTACAAAGTCATACAAAATCAACCATGAGATTTTTCTGATCTTTCTCTTTGCGGCAGGTGGTAAAATGAAAAGAAGTCTTCATTTTTGTGTAGTTTGTAAAGTCACCTGACCCTTGCTTCTGGTCCAAACCAGAGATGCCCTCTTACGAAGTTGCCTTTAAACGGTGTCTACCACAAGATACATGTAGTATTATTTCCAAACTTGGAACAATGATGTCATAAAATACCCAAGCGCCCTATAGCAAAAGATGGAAAAATGTCAAAAAGTGCAATTGTCATTGACGTCTGTGGCAAATTTTGCTGTGACGGCTTAAAAATTGGTAAATACATTGACCTTCATGCAGATTCATGCAGAGATTTGAAGCTGATGACATCAACAGACCACAAGTTACAAGGAAAAGATCTGTACCACTGTACATGTATTTCCAAAATTGCTAAAATACATCCTGAAACAAAATATCTTGTATTGCCCTTCAAATGATGAAATAAATCTTGCTTTTTGATTAAGATGCTCGCCTTTTGAGAGTAGGTCCACCCCCCCCCGATGAATCTAGTTGTCCGTCACTTACTCATTCATATAAAACTTGACGAGTCATGCTTTATGTAAACTGCAGGCATGGTGTGAATGCTTGAACATCGCATGTACGTTGTACATGTACTGTATAACATGGACTTGGGACTGGCATTTAGTCAAGGTGTGGTGGCTACCTAGACACGTGATGCTCCCCAGATGCCAGCATGACAAAAGCTGCAAGGGGTGGGTTTTGCCAATGGCACTGGTTTGTGTTTTTGTACCAGCATCTGGGAGAACATCATGCTCGGTAGCCAAGGACTCGTCCATAACTGAACACCTACATTGTAGACTTAAGGTTTTCAAACTAAGCCGGCAATATCTATAGTACATTTTCTTTTTCAAGAGGAGAATCATACAGAAATTATTTTTACTGATACTTATTGTTACTGGTACTTACCGGTAGTCAGTTTCAAAATTATCATGTTTGAACCAGGATAATGATACAATTGTGCTTTTAGCAATTGTTCCACGATCAGTGACTTCATAAGTTTGTAAACCTGTTATCCTTTGGCAGTTTCGACATATTTCTCCTAACCTCTGTCTACAAGAACAGATGCAGCAAAGCCCAGTGCTCTGTTTAAAACACACCTACTGTACATGTGCGACATAGAATTTCTTGTCTATTAGACAGTTAGACTTCTTAATTTGATATGCATGTACTCTACAGGTGTTATCTCTGCAAATGATGAGACCAAATAGATTTTCTGATGACGTCATATGTTATGTCACCCAACCAACCAGATGATCACATGATCACTTTGTGTCAAACTCGTCTCGTTCTGTTTGTTTGTTGAATTTTTGGTTCAGTGGAAACTTTGCTTGTACATGTATGTTATTTGCCATGTGCCTGCCATTTTGCTCTTATGTGCACATGTACATGTAGTTTGGCACGTAGATGAGACTTCACGATGCATGTCACCGTGGACATAAAGATTGCATGGAGGAAGGACACAGACGGAGTTGTAACTCTAGCGCTTCAAACTGTTCAATGATAGTCGCCGCCAAGTCAAGACAAATAATACTAGTTGAAAACACTCCAAAAATGCCTGATTACTGCTTACATCTTAGCCGGACAAGTGGGGCCAATAATATCCTAGCAATACTTGTAGTGTTTTGATTGCAATTAAATACAAATTTATTGCTGTGACCAGGAAATAGAGAGAGAAATCCCTGATTTTAGACCTACTTTTGCCATCGTGAAAAAACTTTTTAGAATTTTGATACACTGTTCCATTATCCCCGCAAAGTTTGTAATTTTATTCTCCAATACATAAGTTTTCAAAGACTTGGTATGCATTTGGCCAAGACTGGCCAACAAAGACTGACTGTGACACCGTTCTAGATAACTTTGCAAGTTTAACTTTTACTTTAAAAACAGCAACCCCGGATCTGGAACACAACACACAAAATGAAATAAAAGCCAAACAGATTCAAGTGCTTCGTAATACTACATGTACATGTATATTATGTCAATTCAACTTCCAGTTATTCTCTACTTTACTTTACACGTACATGTATGTACAATTCTTTATCAATACTGACTCTTTCCTTAAAAAACCCACTGAAATCTGATTTATCATAAAAGTCACATTACTTTCTTTTTTCCAGTTAAGAAGTACAGTTTGTAAAGCAGCTATACTCCGCTACATAAAGTCTTTATACCGGTATATTTAAAAAAAAAAATTACAACAAATGATTAAGATGAGGCAGTGTCCAATGGTGTTTTCAAGGTTTGTCTAGCTGTGAGCACCTCATGCATGTCATGGGCCGAGTAACTCAGATGCGGTAGCAGTAAACCCAGTTCTCTGGTCTTGTCAAACTGCTCGATCTCAGGTTCGGCGTCTCCAGTCGGTCCATAGATTCGACTTCATAATTATGGAAGGCCACCTAAACGGCATAACATTCAAAACCTTTTGAATTCTCTCATCGTACATTACAATCAACGAATTATTTTCTATGCTTTACTTTTGAACTCGGTCAATTTAACTCAAATCTCTACTTTAAATCAATTTGCTGGTCTTTTCCTTGACCACTTCAGACTTGAAACTTTTGACTTCTTTCAGTTTTTATCGTCTAAGGTCGACAATCATGAAATTCTGCTACTCGATTCAATCATCAACACAAAATACCACAACCAATTACAATGTCATAATAAATTTATCAAAGGTGTAGTTTACACATGCCACACTGAAAATAGTCATTCACTTAACACTTACGATAATCAAGCTTAGCCGATACTTGTGAGATGGACTGTTGTTGGCGAGTGTCAAGACGACCAGGGCGACAATTATATGGTCTGGGTCTGGTATTTCGGCCTGGTTTGCCGAATTCTGGTACTGGGACAAAGTAGCCTACCCAGTATCTACATGTGTAGAACTGACCAAAGACCTAATCTTCTGAATCTAGATTTCTGTCTTTACAGTTGAAGCCGGTCTCAAACATGCTCAGAGGATTTCTCTCAATCTTCACTCTGCCAAGTCCAAAATGTCTTCTCATCCTCTTTCTCTCTATCTCAGCAAGCTACATGTACCTTCTCATTCTTATAATACACCACAATGAAAAACTGCAGGTGCAAACATACACTAAAGCTTAACTGGGTGGATTTATTGTTAGGCAATTAGGACCCACTCGTTCTTAAACTACCGTGGCCTGTTCACAAAGCGTTCTTGCATAAGACGGGATGGCGTTTTTCCACTCAAGTACTCCAACATCATGAGTGGCTGAGACATTTATGAGGCAAACAATTTGACACATGATTGGATAAAAACTTTTTGGACCATTCCATTATTACACAGGTTACAAGGAGATAAAAAAGGAAACAAATGATACACGCTTAAAAATTAAAACAATTAGTTCTATGGTTACACTGTGACAGACTTTACTGCTGGAAAATTAAGTTCATAAGGAACAAAATGCGCTATTTCATCACATGGAGTGATCATGAAATCTCGTGAAATACGTTTTTGTACAAATACAATAATAAAAATGATTCCAACAAAACAAAATCTTGTAAACAACAGGGCAATTTATTCCTAAAATAACTCCAGAAGAAAGCGTTCATTAAGGGCAATGAATGCACACGTTATGCACTGTAACGTCGCCGCTTTTGTGAGTTTGGCACACGTCTGAAAACGGGCAGAGATGCTTGTCCTCTGGTCCAGTGGCTTCTGGCCTTTATTACACCTCCAATACCACCGAACGCACATTTATATAAATGTACAATCAAATCTGGATCTCCTCTCACGTTCGCAGTGGATCAAAATCACACTAAAAACATGTCTGCCAGAACTGGCGCGGAAAAAACGCTGAGGTAATGGAAAATTCCCAAAATGCTACTGCGCCGGCGCCGCAGGGGCGGGCCCAACAAGCCGACCGGCAGGGCCCGGCACGGCCCCGTGGAGCCACACCAGCACCCCCAACGGCCTGTTGGCGCCATCACTACCGTACATTTAGGGGCACCTGGTGAAATACAAGCGACTGCGCAAGCATTAGATATAATGTTGGAATGAGATCATACTAAGCGCCAACAAAGGCATGAATATTCAATTTCCTATACCTCAGTACACAAAGTTTTAAGGATGCACATTACCAGCGAAATATTGTGGCTGTGACCGTAGGGGACCAAAGGGCTTTTGTAGTTGTGAAACAGATGGTGCGTAGCAAGCGCTCACTGTGCTCTGGCTATGGGCGTACCGGGCATGCCAGAAGAAAGCGGTAATTGGCCAGATGTTATAGCCCCAGGCAGTTCAGACTTGTCCTGTGTCCTTCCTAAATGCTGATTGCAGCAGTATTGAAACTTTATTAATCTGACGCAATTGAATCGTGGTTATTTCCACTTCTTGGTCTCAAAGAGTAATCCAAGTTGCCTTGTGTGTTTTAACATGCATGTACATATGTATGTGTCCTTGTCATTGCTTGAAATAATAACTGCACAGTACATGTACATGTACCTCCAACGTTTCCAAAATAAAAGGTTAGTTTTCTGCTTTTTTAACTAGTCATTTGAATCCATATATTTATTTTCCTATACCATACACGATGTACCGGTACTTTTCTTTTTGCTTTTTTTATTTTTAATTCTGCAGAATCCTGAGATGTAGTCGTACCATTAAATGCACTGTTTTTCTTCTTATCCATGCACTTGCATGCTTTGGGCAGGCCACTGTATCAATGGAGCCTGCCTCTTTTCAGCGCTGGGAGAAATACCAATTACCTGTCTTGGCTTCATCCAAGTCAACACTGTCTGTGACAGACAGACAATATCATGGAAATTCCTCTGAACAAGAAGTGCAGTGTTTTTTTCACCGCAGAGGGAGTGGAAGAAAAAGGTAATAGGGACGACAAAAGGACTCGTCAGAAAATTCATCTAAAAGCTTATGTACATGTATCATCCACGGTCATGTCTTTCCTTGTTGTAGCTAGTAAAACTATGGCTGGCCATGAATCCAAATATAAAAGAATAGCTCACTAAGTCTTAAAAACCTAACATAGCTGTCAGAACACCGGATAGTAATACACATACGGTGTACATGTACTACTGAATTCTAAATGAAAGTGCAACCCTCTTTAGAATTAATGGGACAAGTGTACATTTTGAAGGAATTGGAGGTAAACTCAATAACCAACCAAAAGATGATTTTCTGCAAACTTTGGCTGCCCATACTCGTTGTAAGCAAAATGAGAGTGGTCTATTGAACTGCTGTTACTAAGGAAGGTTTTGCATGGGCCCAAGATGCCTCAGGGGAAAGTGAACCCTGGAAAGTGAACATTGGTGAAACTCGGGTGAAACGTATTCCTCTAAATTTTTACTTTTTTCCCAGATTGGAAGAAACAACTTCCCTGTAAATGCATCACAGTATAAGTATGTTGTAGTAATTCTGAAGTATTGAGCCCCATTCGTTGGGCGAGACCAGCCTTTGCTACAGTGTAGCATCAAGGTTTTCTCTGCCTATTCAACTGTGAGGTGGCCCACCTCACTGATTTTATTGACCACCTCAGGCTTTTCTGTTGAATTTTACCACCTCACACCTTAGATAAAGAAGGAAGGAAAAAGCAAAGTAATTTAGACATTTTGAAAGGACTTTCAAATTGTTCAGAATGGTAAAGAGGGGCACAGATACAAGATCAATTTATTTTGGAGGGGAATTTTAGAGTAATGTTCATGCATAACATTATCCTGTATAGAATTTATTTCAGCCCTTTTTGGAAATGCTTGCTTTTGTTTTAGGTGCTAGAATTTTGGCAAAATTTATTTGACCACCTCAAATATACATGTATCAATACCCCAGGGGGATCGTTGATATGTACATATACATTTCCGCTCTTCACAGGCAGCCTGATGGTGCTGTACATGTACCTCAAGATGTAGCCACTCAAGACCTTCCTCATCTGTAGTGCACTGACAGCAGTTTGGAATGAAGACAGCAGTGATCCTTAATAGCACTCTACTAGACATACGCTACACCATTTCCTAGATAACACTACGGTCGAAGACTACACAGCTTTCTGGTGTGTAGTGTACATTCCTTCCATACTGCAACTTGAATTATTGGCCACTTTGCCTGGACCCGTCTCAGCCATCTGGAAAACCTCCAGGTGAGTCTAAAAGCAGTGACCGTGTCCTCTCCCACCAATGGACCCTTTCCCATGAAATCTGCAAATTAGACAGATGCATGCGCACTGCTACCACTAGTTGGCAAGCGTGGCCGTCAACACTGTCAGCAGTATAGGAGAAATGCTGTAACCCTAACCTGGAGCGTTGAAGGTCCAAACCGTATTACAGCCTTTGTCTGATACTTCAGAAGTGCATGATAGGGTATCCACCCTGAGCTGAATTGCATCCCCAGTCGGCGAAAAGAAAGACAGGTGGTTACAAGCGGGTTCTTCATTCTGCGCGTATGCAAAGACCATACATGTACATGCCGGAGTAAATTAGTTACACATACTCAGCGTGCTCTGCGTCAAACGCGCATATACTTGCGCGCCTCATGGTGCACCTACATGTACATGTACATGTATGCTATGCGGTGAGTAAGTAAAAAAATGCCCGCTTTTGTTCCGCTCGGAGGGTGGCATCTGTTTGTGATGTGGAGCATCGATTGCCACCCTCCCCCCTGCCCCCAATGCATGATGCCCTTGTCAAGTGTGTCGTACCTGTACAGTATGTATACATGGACATGGACATCCTTCAGGTTGATAAAGGTCATTTTGCAGATATCAGACCATGACGTGCATTTTAACGATACTGTAATCTTTCATGTATATCAGTACTAACTTAGACTCGCTGTACTTCATAAACACTGCAGGTGTGAACATTTTCAGCAATAATTCATTTTGCATCTGCAGGCGACAGACTGTGATAGAGTTCAAACAATTGTCAGTTCGTGGATGAATACATGTAACGTAGCTACCTGGGAGTTTTTGTTAGTGTTTTGCTCAGCTCTAATGAATTGAGAGAAATCGCTGAGAAGCAGAAAATATAAAGTGTCTGTTTACCAAGTTGCCCTATTACGTTCTCTATGTCAGCCAGTTCTCTATTCCATCTGTGGCTTCTATGTTATCATCAACAATCATGCACAGGCCACCACAACACTCCAAACACTCCAAACACTCCAAACCACATTGCTGCTGAGAAAACCTCCTACCCTACCATGTGCATGTCAATTTCTTCTTTGTTATAAAGATAATCACTTGCTTTGGGGCATGTGATTAGTAAGGGGTATTGCAGCATACCTGTGTACAAAAATTGTTTATTTCTATGGAGTGAATTTTTATGTGTGGCCTTTGACAGAAGTGGCAAGTTCCTTTTGCTGTCACATTTAGTAATCAACATGCGTTGAGTAATAACAGTTCAAGATATTCTGATTTTCAGACACATGGTGTGGTTAAAATAATATGGTCCCTAAAAATGAGCCACTTTACAAGATTGGCACTGCCAATCAAAATTGTCTAACTGTTTACTGGATCCTTACCAAGTAAACTAATAAATTACAACCTTTTTTAGTGTAAAATTGGTAAATTGGAAGAAATTGCTGCTTTTTTCAACAGACACTCCTTGCGCAACTCTCACTAACTGGTCCATGGTGTCTCTGTTGTGGGTGCTCATCGCCTTTCCCCTACCCATGGATTCCACCAGGCCTATCCATGAGTTGCCTATCATCTGCATGGACTTGTCATCCTCTCTTCTGTGTGTGTACGGCCTCCCCATGCTACAGACTGCTTCCAGCATGGTGAGGATCCTCTGAGCTAGGACAGCCAGCTTGCTTTCAGCAAGGGAGAGGTTATTTCAAGGTGTTACTGTCGAGTCCTTTCCCAAGTCTCCAAGGGAGCTAAAATATGAGATGCATATACATGTACATGCACATGTACTGTGGAAGGAACGGGGCCACAGTTCTAGTACTACGTGTGTATGGCAGTGTTGGCTGTGTCACTAGAATAAGATTGAATACTAGCGTTGGGGTACACAAATGACAAATGTACACCGTGATAGGTCTAGGTTCATTGAAATACATGCATATGGGGATACAAATGGACAGAGGGGGCCATGACCTTGGATGTTTTATCGTATTCCTGTGTTTTAATAAGCCACCTCTGATGTAAGTAGCATATAACTTTTTCCAAAAGTACTTGCACTTTGTAGCCCCTTTTGCAAATACATGTACTTGACCATTACCAGCTCTGCTTTTTGTACAAAAACTCAGAATCAGTCACAATCAGAAGAGTTGTTTCTCTAAACGTAGTCTGGTTATTTTGAGCCTGAGCCCTCTTTTACCATGTCACGTTCTAGGACTTCTAGGACTTCTAGGACTTGGAAATGGACTCTACAACACTCCTGTTTTGGTTGTTTATACTGAGTGTGATTGTCAGCATTAAGTACCGTCAATCTTTCTCGTGATTGCAAATCAAGCAATTCTTGGCACCCGCTCTAAGTGTCGTCACTTGAAACTTCAAAAGTTTCTTGGCCTTTTAAGGTTTTTAACACAAGAAAGACAAGAATCAGTGGTCGCTTCTCATGAGCTGTCTCTAATGTTTTTCATTGAAGGATTTCTGCAGTATATGTAGTCAGTTACTTGTATCCTAAGCACCCTTTCATGCTGATTGCTTTACAATACAACTTCCACAATTTGGCTGCGTTCCTCAAATGAAATTCAAACTAGCTCATGGGATGTTAATGTGGCTTGCGTTACATGCCATGAAGGGGCGAGCGCATACAACTACATGCATTTGTACATGCATGTATATCCGACAACAATTTCCTTGGACTTCAAAGACCACAGTAATGTTTTCTGTGCAATTATGATACCAGTGCATCAGAAGAAAATGGGCTTGAATACATGTCGCCGATAGTTACTAAAGCTATTTAAATAAATTGGCCAACAATTGATCATTGATTGAGAATATGGCTTTAGAGGCTGTAATTTTAGAAGACGTGGATGGATTTGCATGTATCAGGTAAATACTTCTGTAGTATTGTACAGTTGGCTCAAGGTTACAAGCAGTCTGAATGAGTTTTATGAATTGGTTACTTTTCCGCCCTCTTTAGATCTATGGAGCTGGTTCCCTAGGTTAGGATACAAATCAGCAACATGATAGCCCCAGCTGAATTGCACTGAGCAGATTGAGAAGATCAATTCATACTATTTAGCTAGGAAGGATAACACCACGGTGACCTCTCAGGCACAAGTAAGTACTTCCTTGTAGTATTATCAAGCCAATAGTTTTGATTTGGCCCGAGAAATACCAAGCCACAGGTTAGGAATTTTAAAGCCAGATGACCATTTCTTAAGGTTAATTTCCTTGTGTTCAAGTGAATCTTTTTTATGTCATCTGTCATAGTGGATCTTTAACCAAAGTCATGTTTTTTTAGTTCATTGGTCTTGCTTTGTCTCTTTTTTTCCCCGCAACTTTTCTCTGTCTCTTCCTATCTGCTCATTGAGTACACGTTCATGCTCCATGTTTCCCATTTTTTTACATAACTGTTCTTAATTTAACCTGTCCATTTGAAATTTTGATAATAGTTTTGTTTGTATTCATCCAAAGGATTTAAAATTGATATGCTTCAAGTATGAATGCTATCTTTTCAACAGTTACGTATGTTTTAAATATTTTTTTAGTCTAAGCAAGTGGTCTCCATTTTCCTTTTGATTCGTTCCTGTCGCTTACATCACATGCTGATTCCGCTCACATTCATCTTTTTTTTTGTCTTTCTTTTTGTTTTTACTCCAAACAGCCTAGTATTACCCTCAGCTGCCAAGTGGGATTCCACCT